AGTTGCTAGCGACTCACCGTCCTTGTTCCTTCGTGGCCCTGTGTTTTGGTTTTTTTGCGCTTTCCTCAAACATAAAGAGAACGAGCTTGTATAGAAATCGCGACCTTTCGTGTTCACGTTTCAATGACTTGCATAGAAAAATTGCGTGGTACAGAACATGCCGGAGCTGCGAGTTTTTTATCCCGAGTGTGACACGTGTCCACAAATTGTTTCACGCCCCCGCTTCATTATCCGAAACTTTACGCCGTCGTCCCGCTGTCACGATCGAGAATTTCAGTCGGGGACATCATCTTGGGGAACCTGTCAGGACGATCGCGTGCAATAACGTGATTCTGAGAATGGCGGTATACCTTGTGCTTACTGCACACACCTAACGTCAATCTACGCATTCCTGAATACTGGTCTATAATTGACGTTATAGAAAGGGTAAATGTGCCATATTGTCGTGAAGGCTATTCAAACGCTGCTCTAATATGTTGCGCTTGTCACTCAACCCATCGTGGGACATGACCAGCAACAACCCACGCGCCTAATATATACGTACCTTCTTCCGTCACAACCGAAATCTCGACTTGCATTTTATACGTACCATCTCCCGTCACAACCGAAATCTCGACTTGCATTTACAGTGAAGTGGTATATGGCTATAAGCGAAGCCGAAATATTTCCGTCCTGTGCGCGCAAAGATTCAGCCTGTATATGTGTCACAGAAACTGGGAAAGCCAGGCTACTCGCCACTGATCAGCTAATAAAGAAGTTAACGTACTGGGGACATAAACAAGTCAAGATAGGCAGATGTAACCAATTATTAATTCCTTTGATGAATCGTCGGGACTCACACAATGATATGAAGAACGGGCCACACGTTTCAGCTTCCTTGGTTATCTGTGCGGAGTGCTTTGGTGGACCCGTATCGGTGCACTTGTTGTTACGGCATTCGACTGCTGACCGAACGGTCGCGCCATCGAATCCCGGCTGAAGTGGCCACATTTTCGATTGAGGAGATAATCTTTGAGGCCCCTGTGTTTAGATTGATCAATCAACCTATTAACCAATCAATAAGCGTTATTTCGTAATATACACGTAATGGTTGATTATTCATATAGAAGGTGGACCCCAGATCCCACTCAGGGGCAATAGCAGGGGTCTATTTTCTGACGGCATAGTTGTAAGCGAGCTACATAGCAAATAGGTACAGTATTTAAGTGCTATTCAGGAAATAGGTACGTGTAGGTGCACGGTAAAGACCCTTCTTTGGTCACAATTTTCTGATACCGCGTCTCTCAGGATCATATGATGGATTTATAACGTTGAACCCCAACAATTATTATTATTATTATTGGTGGCGTGGTTACTTTTTAAGCAAGCTTTTCCTAACCAAATAAAGTGCTGCACTGGGGCCGTGCTACTCTTGGTCGATCCTGGCTGCGTGTAATTGTGACACGGGGGATAGGTGGATGTCGAGTGCTTAAATATATATTGAGAGATGCATACGTGATACCTACAAGTGCGTGCAAATAATGTGAACAATGTTCCCTCGATAACCATATTCCCTGTGAGCACGCAAAGGAACCGATATCTTCCTTTCTGCACATTGCTTGTGAATGGTGTAATGCGCTAACGAACATAGTGCGTAAGCGCACTGGTTGCTTATGACGAAAATAGATATGCTTGTAAGCATTGCATTCACTTGTACAGCGATTTCTGTAGGATAAATCTTTGATTATTACCGATAAATCTTTGATTATTACCGCGTACATTGTAGCCAACAAAACTAATTTTTGGTGGGTCATTTCTCCTTTTAATCAGAGCGGCTACCATACCATGTGCTCCGATAATTTGCTTTCACTCTTTCGCCTGTTAATTAGTTTGTTGTTCAGCGTTAATTGAACTAGCAATATTTTTTACGCCGAAACTGTATGGTTAGGTCCTGACGGATAGCGTTCGCAGACAAAATGACAAAAGTACAACCCATCATTGCCGTGATGGCTGAAGGATCGCAGCGTCAGAGGTCCCTCGAGTAATTATCGTAGCAAACTCCATGCCACTCACCACCAATCGTGATGCACCTTCGTCTCGCGACGCAAGATCTCACCAGCGCTGTTATCAGCAGTTGCTTTTAAATCGTTCGCTCGTAGGGAGATGAGCGGCAATCGAAACAACGCTAAAACGTACAAAACCTTGGGCAGAAAAACACAAAACCGTTTGCGCGGAGCATGCAGCCACAGCTTATACCGCAACTTCGTAGGCTTCGACCTTCAGGGTAGTAGAATAACTCTGCATATTTTTACCCTGGTTCTGCGGTGTCAAAAAAGTTCTACACACATTTGTTATGTTGCGACAAAATCCTCTTTGCGATTCAGTTGGTCGCAAGAAAGAGAGAATGAGAGACTCTATTATGTATAGTGTAAGGCGCTCAGGCCTAGCTCAATTTCCACGAGAGATAGACACACTGCAAAGCGTCCCACGCACCTAAGTCATTGGCATCCTTTAATACGTTGGTGCAGGAAAAGGAACTCTGTGAACAACTTAGGCATAAGGTTTTAATTATTCAACGAGCAATGTTGATGCGGCCCACACAGGCGGTGCTGTAACAGCAGAAACAAATGTATGTGCTACTATACCCACGCGCACAACTCAATATATATAAATTGAGGCACTGCTATAGACGAACTGTTGTTTCAAAAGCGAAATGGCTTCTATACCAATTCAGAGCACCGGATAAGAAAAGGTGTTGCGGAGTTACGTTTAGATTGTACAAAAAATATAGAAATGGGCCACCGTGCTTCATCGGCAAGAGAGAAAACGAAAATGGGGTAGTACGATGGCGTCTAAGAAATCATCCGTAGCATAGAAATTATTTTTCGCTGCGTTATGTTCAACAGAACATTTTCGCTGTATTGTGAAGGCAAGAGGGACAACGTAAAATTCTTTTCTTAGGCACACTTCTCAAATATTTGACATCTGTCGCTATAGGGATCGCGTGCTTGGTGATGCGATATGAAGAACCGAGGCGTACCAATTGATTCAAGCACGAAGCGGAATCGTACGTAGTTCATGCAAACACCTAGTGTCTACGCGATACTTTGCTAAAGATGAAGGAACAGCGAAGTATGCCGGAGACTGACAGGCTAACACCGTCCTGCAGAAAACAACTAAACCAATCAATAAACCAACCGAACTGACACCCACCACTGCTAAGGAGTGTTGGGTGTGCCTACACGGCTCATGGGTAACGAACGAGCACAGGCGTAAGCTAAGTGACCACGGCGAATTTCAAATGAATTCAACGAAAATAAAGAACTCTTGGGTACAATGTATTATCTGAAAAGTGTGCAAATATTTTTTTCGTTAGACTTGGCACGTATAGTAGCCCAGCCACGGTGGTCTAGTGGCTGAAGTACTCGGCTGCTGACCCACAGGTCGCGGGATCAAATCCCAGCTGTGGCGGCTGCATTTCCGATGGCGGAAATGTTGTAGGCCCGTGTACTCAAATTTGGGTGCACGTTAAAGAACCCCAGGTGGTCGAAATTTCCGGAGCCCTCCACTACGGCGTCTCTCATAATCATATGGTGGTTTTGGGACGTTAAACTCCACGAATCAATCAATCAAGCAATTGGCATGTATAGTAAACTGACACTTTCTTTTTCTTTTTGTCTCCAAAATTTTTGTGAGTCATTTAGACGATAAAAAACAATATACGTGACGGAAAATGATCCGTCTATACAATGAAAGTACAGCTTTTTATTTCCTCGTATTGTTATATAGGTAGCTTGTCTCTGCATAACTTGATGCAGGCTACTATCATCAAATAAAGAAAGCAAAATGAAAAGAAAATTTATGAAGTCTGAATAGAACATATCGATGCTTTGTTCTCCTTACGCGATATATTATTTATGTAGTTCCTAACCCCAGTGCTGTGTCAAGAGGCAGAAATCGTTTAGCCCAGAAAACATTAAAAGTTCAGTGACTTCAATTTACTAGAAACTACACTCAAGACAAATGTTTCGAAACTTTGAAACTTATTATGCTTTATTACAACTAAAAAGATGTGCGTCCCAGCAAAAAATTAGCGGCGTTAGCCACATTTTCCCCGTATGCCCAGACAACTATTTTAGCTTGACCTATAGTAAAAAAGTAATAAACGCAATCGGTGGCTAAAGCAAGTGAGTGAAGAAAGAAAGGACAGCTTCTTCAGCGAATATTTTATATCCCTAAACGCTCGAATACGTCATCGTCCGTTTCGTGCTATGAGGGTTCTCAGAACCGAAGGGCGTCACACCATGATCGCAAGAGCATCGCCCCATTACTTTTTTTACCTCTCCCGAACCATCCGCCTTCCTCTTTCCGATTAGGAACCCCGGGAAGCGTCATAACACCAGAATCGGGCACAGGTTCATGGTTTCCCCTTTGTAGCCCTTTTCACCCTTAGCGAGAAACCCGCCGTCCCGTCCGAACCTCCCTCACTCCCTACGCGTTTATTCTTTCACCCACAGTACGCCGCGCCGGCTCAGTTTTTCCCGACCCCACCTCCTCGGGAAAAACGATACCCCGCACACTTCTCCCATTGGCTGGTAGCGCCGAGAGTCGCGCGCAGAGGGAAACGAGTAAGAGTAAAAAGGGGGAGAGGGAAAGAAGACGCAACAACAAAATGGAGAGAGCCGCCGAGGAGCGCGGAAAAGGGACCAAAAGGGGAACGCTGGATAGGGAAGAAAAACAGGGGAAGAATGGAGAGCTCCTCCGCTCACCCGGGTAGGTATCCGGCCGCAAAGTTCGTTTATTATCTCCACCGGGTCCGTCCTGAAGAGTAGTGAGTCGCGTTGCAGTTTTATTGTCCAGCGACGGCTCACTCGCCCCAGGTGACGTCACAGCCCGCTCCCAGCCTGTAGCGCGCTCTTCTGCACGAGCTCGTGACGTGACGTCAGGATCGGCGGTCCAACGAAGTGGGGGGGTTGGCCGAGGCTAAGCGTGTTGGCTCAAAAAGCCCGACGGCCGCCGAAGGGAGTGGTGGGAGCGCATTCAGCGCGGAACTGTGATCCAAGCGAGCGAAAGTTTGTGGGACTGCCGGGGTTTCGTCGAAGGCCTGCCAACGCCGCCGAGGATTTGCAACGCGTCCGAGCAGCGTCTGACCGAGAAGTCGACATACCCTGCACAGGTAACCTGTGCCATGTTTATTTCTTCCATTTTTTTGTTCTGGTGTACCTTCGTCAATTTTATTTTAGGTTCTCCGTAAGTTCACTGGATGTGCTTTCACTGCTCTTCAAGCAGAACGTCGTGGGAACACGGCCCCACAGATTCTCGAAGATGTGAAGAACCTTAAAGTTTGACAGCCAATTTTGTACGAATCGTGCCACCGCTTTGTTTGCTCGTTTTTTGTTTGTCTTTCGAGATTTGTCGCCGAGATTCGTCAAAATGCTGATCTGATAAATCTTAAAAAACCGCTTGGCGTGACTCAAATTATGCCCACATAGTCGTATACGGGCTAGTTTTCAATTAAAAACTTTGCGCACCGACCAACGCTGTCAAGGCCGTTCACTGATTTCCCAAAAGGGTTGCTCAGGGTTACCTACAATATATGTAATCATGGTATATATCAGTCATTGACCAACGCCAGCATTGTCAACGAGGCTGGCACATTCGGGTAATCATTGAGAAATTGTCATCTAATCTACCTTTTCTAAGATGAGGCATACAGCACGACGCGGCAAATAACGAAAAATGAGGTCACAGGCCAAGTGAAAATAAAACAAAAAACAAAGGACAAGTTTTGGCGTTTCCGGACCTGTATATAGATGTTCACTATTAGCGATGTGATGGACGCAGCGCCATTTTCTCCAGTTGGGTATCACGCAATTTCGCGAGCAAGGATTCTGTATTGTTGTAGTATCAGCTAAGAATGAATCGAACTGTCACATTGGAGGTACCAAATTCTCAGAGGACGCAAGCGCTACAACGCTTTTTGCTCAATCGTTGTGAATTGAATTGCTTGCTTTATATATCATGTTTGTCGCTATAGACACGCTTTGATATTATCAATACTGTGGTAGGGAAACAAGGAATAACTTAATCTTGTTTACTCTTTCTCAATAGTAACACGGCACGAAAAGTTAAAGAAAAATCGGAGGTTTACTTAGCTAAACCCACGACACGTCCACGAGATTATCCGGATTTTAATTTACCACTGTGAAGTTTATGAACTAGCCTGTAAGTCTAAGTACTGGGAGATTTTCCACGTGGCGACCGAACAGATATACGGCCGCAGTGGCCAAGGAATCAAGGAGGAAGAGGAGGGTGTTGTTGGCTGCAGGTGGATCTACTTTTGGCCGGGAATCGAACTTGCCCTGGAGGATCGGAATGCCTGCAACGGCCGCTCGAGATCATGATGGGTAACACGAAATAGTGGTCATTCATACAGGCACGTAAGTATAGTGGACTGAGAAAACTACCTATCTAGCCACTAGACAACTCGCAGCGTGCTCGGGACCGACGACGAATCAGTGGTGGTCGTTCCCGGCAACCGCGATTTGTCTGGTTGATCTGCAAGTCGCACAGGTGGTCGGCCTCGCACAGGTCAGCCTCAGGCCACACTGGCATCCGGCATGGAAAGCTGTCGATGACGACTCTGGCGGACGCTATTGGCTGTGCCGTGGCGGTTGACCACCTTGGCCAGGCTGTGAAATTGCAGAAAAGGATCTCTCGTTCTTTTCTAGCGCGACCATTTGGACGTTTCGTGGTGCTCGTCGCTGTCACGGTGTTCACTGTGACACGGCGTTGTGTGTTTGTACGCCGCAGGTTCAAGGCGCTCTCTGACGAGGCACCGGAACAGTGCTGGTTCACGTCCGCGGAATATGCAATACTAGTAGCACTCACGGCGGCGACACGCACGTCCAAGGAAGCATAAGCAGCGTTTCTTGGCATCTTGTATGTTGGAAGAGGACCGGCAACGTAATGCAGGCCGTGAGAAGCTTGAACAGTATTCACAAAGGACAAGAGTTCGTGCGTATTACGGCCTCGAAGTGGTAGCATTGTGTCCAGGTGATGACCTGGTACCACAGGGGAGGCATGAACGCCGTCCACTGATGGTCCGATGGGCAGCTGAAGCGGTGGCCGGGTTTATGACTCCATCGTCAAGGAAGCGTGAACGGCGTTCCTAGATGGAGAAGCCCGCGCTGCCGACGACCCATCAGGCTATGGACATGTGGCTTGTTCCGCAAAGTTCAATTGTCGAGCTGCGCCATTTTAAAGGAAAAAAAAATAGACAGAACCCGGACGCTTGGCTAGTTGTTCTTATTCTGTACTTCCTTCTCTTTCGATTCCAGAGATGACCATTAGAAAAACCGTTAGAGGTCCTCATGCTGATAAAAAGAGCGTGAATATTTATTATTCATTCGCGTGTGGCTCCACTCGGGGCATCGAACCTTGGCGGTATGCGTGCACCGACACTGAGAGTCAATTTCTCGTAGCTCAAACAAATGTTTTCACTACATCTATCTCCTTGAAGCTATTTCTTTACTTTAAGTGAACTCAACCTCAAGCTAAGTGCGTAAATATGAAAGAATGTCCTATGGCGTATTGAAGCGCACGCGTGCCACTCAAACGCTTACTAAAAAATCTGTAACATCAGGGCCTTCTTAAAGCATCGAGTAACTCTATATATATATATTGTACAAGGGGGAAAGTGGTTGGACGAATATGACTCATAAATGGTCATGGCATGGATAATGTCACCATCTCATCGCGTATGTCATCAAATCCTTTCCGCCAGACATGTGGCAGAAATGTCAGGGTCCCAGAAGGAATCAAACCTCAGAATTCTGCGTGGCAATGAAGTATTCTACAACAGAGCCACGCCAGGTCTCGCAACTACTTTTCAAATAGATACCAATGTTCGTGAAACAACAATTATGGTTACAGTGCTAACTATCCACTCTTATAAACACTACATATGTACTCCCGTGATACAGCCGTCACGTGGAGTAATGTCTATTGTAGTTAGGCGCCATCCGCTGGAGTTGATTTATGTGGCAGTGACCATGGGCTACTCCCCGCCAGCAGCAGCGCTACATATTAGCTTCTGGTGTTGCTAATATCCATGTTGCGTTTGGCATCGTTAAGCAACCGTCTGCGCGTGCATTTGTGCTATATATTGCACCCCTTTGTTTCGCTCAATAATGAAACTACAACACAGTCCCCTTCTATCCGCATGCTTCGCATAACATCGATTCCGAAGGTACGTGGCATCTGCGGAATTTTTATACCACTGAGTTTTGCAGTATTTTACTTGTTAACGTTTACATGTGTAGAATAAAGAACAAAAATAGCATTGGCTACCTGCAGAGCTCACCTAATACAACGGAGCTGCACAGGCCTAGGCGAAACTAAAGTTTGTCCATCCTGCGTAGGCAAAAACACCTGACACGTATGTTCTATAGAAACTTGCCAGGCCTCACTACTCAGCACTGATGTAGTAAATTTGAAGCAGTCGTCTCACGGCATTAACGTGCGTGGCAGTGCATCAACGCTCCACAGAATGTTAGGCCCTTTGCTTAGTCATTCAAAATAGTGAGGGGTTTTGCAATTACTATTCAGTTACATGTGTTAAATTGGCTCAAGTAGGAAAGCTTGACTCATTCCATATTTAGCAGACAAAGTCCTTAACTTCACACTGTCATCCAAGTTGTCAATATTTGTGTCACGTTTACTTGCACGTTTCAATTTAAGGGTGGATCACATAGGGGCCCGGACTGGGGCATGCTGTAACGCTGAAAAAACCGCGTACGCCATAGCCATCTCTAGCGTACTCAGCGCGTGTTCACGCCAAGGATTAGTCTTTTACATCTTGTTCTTCGATCACCCTGATGATGATGCGAAATGAGGAGCACTTTTGAAGCCCGGGCTGCCATATGATTTCGTACGCTTCTTTTTTTTTACAAATAAACGAAAACTGGTCAAATTTACGACGAAAACGAAATTATGACGTCTACAGACCTCTACGGGTCTCTTGTTCCCACACCTGTGAACAGCTGTTGTCGCTTGAGGTAGCTCAGGCAAAACCATGTGTAGAAATTGACAAAAAAAAGAAAGCGAAAAATAGAAGTAGACAAAAACAAAGAGCAAAATAGAAAGAATAAAGAAATAAACAGAAATAAAAAAGAAAAAAACAGAAGAAACCAGAGATGAGTAAAAGAAATAAAGATAAGGGAGTAAAAAGACAGAAACGAAGGAGAAGTTATGAATACTGCAAGAATGGAAACTAGCTAAAATGATATTGTTGCTGAAGGAACAAGACCGCAGGTACATATTGGACAACATAAGGCCAATTGCCTTGATATCGAATCTGGTGAAATTGATTGAGATAATTATCCATACTCGAATCAATAGATTCATAGAAGAAAGGTCAATTCTAAGCCCCTTTCAAATCGGGTTCAGGGCTGGGTGTTCCATATAGAATGCTCATGTTGATTTAAAAAGTCGTATGCAGTTAGCCCGACGGGACAACAAATATGCAGCTTTGGTTACTTTGATTATCCCTAAAGCATGCGATACTGTAGAGCATGGTATTCTGATAGATCGACTGGAATCTCTTAATTTCCCGGTATACATAGTAACGTTGATTCAAGAATTCCTTTTGGACAGGAAGTTCTATTGTTTCAAAGGCGGCTTTTCATCAACTATGCACACACAAACCAGAGAAGAACCGGAAGGCTCAGGGCTGTCCCTGGTGTTATTTAATGTGCTAATGAGCACCATTTCACGTAACCAAGACATAACAACTTATGTTTTTGCAAGCGATATCGCCTTCTTTGCAACGGAAGACACCATTCAGACGTTATACAACCGCCTGCAGTCTTATTTTACCACCCTGGAGAACTGGCTTGATGACGATCACTTCTTACTAAATCCCAGTAAATGTGCCCTTCTTGTCTTCCCCTTGAAATACCCCGTGCACATCTCATTGTGTTAACATTTTGAGGACATACCACAGGTGGAATCTATTAAATATCTTGGGGGATTTGTAATCCATCTCTAAATAAGCGCCAACACAATGAATACATAGCTGGAAAAGGTGCAAGAGCCGTCGGCATGTTACGCAGGATAAGCAACTACCGAAGAGGCATGAGAAGAGATACACTAGTAATGATATATCGAATGTAT